GTGGTGGTGCCAGGTGGTACTGTGGCTAGGACACCGAATCATATTGTGGTGGTACCGGGTGGTACTGTAAAGGAGCAGGGTCGTACCGGGGTGGCTCGGGATCCTCTCGTTGCAGGGGTGGCTCAACCTGTGGTAGTGGAGGAGGGTTAGGTAGCTCCCTCCTTTCCTCTCGGCCCTACTGGGCAGCAATGAGTCTCTCCAGCATCTCAAATATCCGGTCAACATCTTCTCTAAGTGAGCCATCCCGAGCTGCTCAGTTTAGTGGGGGTCTTCCTCTCCTCATCTATCTGTACCTGTATTTCATACGGAACGGTTGAGTGATAATCCATTATTTTAGTGTTCCCTAAGAATTTTGTGTAAGGAATGAGTCCGAGGAATGTGACTCTGATACCAATTATAACGACCCTGGAAATATCCAAAGGAAATAAAAGACAATTAAAGTGTGAAAACGTAATAAATGTTCAGGGTTTACATTCCTTACACAGATAACTCAAAATACCAAACAGCATTATAGAATTCACTCTTTTGAAAGAAGCATAAGAATAAGGAAATAAACGGGAAATATAGAAATCTAGCATCTACTCGCAATCTTCCTGCGGATTGGACTCTGGAACCTGGTCCTCTTGATCTGAAATGGTTAAATAAGGGATGAGCTACACTAGTCCAGTAAGGATATCACATTATATCACCGACACAGAAGTAAAGTTTGTATAAAATCAACACACTAATAGAGCACTTAATTTAAATAAATTCGTTTATTATAAATACAACCATTTATCGATTGCTTACCGTAGTGGGATTCATAAAAATAACCTATGCAGACCATTAATATCATACAAATCATAGTTTCATGTAAAATCAGCAATATAACATATATCATAAGTCTATATATATCGTTAATAAACCAAATAATAACTGTCACTTTTTCACCAGTCTACTAGTATCCATGGGGGTTCATAGGAATGTCTCCATCACCACGTGGTATGTCCTAGTTCATCGGGGCTACTGACCGGACATCTTACGTGGTAATTTTTTTAAAAAATTGTATTTTGACCTCTGATTTTTTATTTTTCTTTTAAAAATACATCAAGAACTCAAATTTTTACCTATTTTCTCCAGAATTGCTTTTAATTTCATCCTCAATCAATTTTACTTCCTTTTTTACTCTAAATTAAAATTAAAAATTGAAAAATTAAGAAATTATATTTATAATTAAAACTTAAATTACATTAAAATTAAATTTATGGTATTACATCATGTGTTCATATTACGTAAATATCATCCTGATCCATCACATATAATTCAATATGAGGAGATTTTTATTGAGGAATAAGACTATTCTGATGGTCAAGGTACTCTAGTGACATCATTCGCCAACGGAAGCTACTTGGGAGACTGAAGATTCGATGTGAACTCGATTTCCTCACCTACTTTAGAGACATGTCAAATTTAGAGAACCAAATTTTTATAAGGAGGAAAGAATTGTAATATCCATCTAAAGAAAAAAAAAAGAAGAAATGTAAATAAAAAAATAAAAAATAAATAAAATTAAAATTAGGATTTTAAATGAAAACATTTGAGAAAAAAGAGGGCAAAAACATAAATGAGGGGAAGTAAAAGGGGGCCAAAAAAATCAAGAAAATGGACGGCCCAGATCAAGCTTGTGAGATCCAACAGCTGGGGGGAACGGGCATAAAAGGGAAAGATATTAGGGTTTTCTCTTCATTTTAAAGAGTAGCCAAAAAAGAGAAAGGGAAAAGAGAGAGGAGTGATCGGAAAGAGAAATAAGAAGAGGGTTATTGTGCGGGGAAGCTGAGAGAGAGAAAAGAGAGAGGAAAGAAAGAGAGAGGCCGGAAAGGAATAAGGGAAAGGAGAAAAAAAAAGAAAAAGAAGAGAGAAAGGGAAGAAAAAAGCGTGGCCGAGCGGGGAAAGTAGAGAGAGCCTAGAATGACCACTGCAAAGGGAAAAAGAGAAGAAAGAGACTGGCAGTGGCGGTGAGTGATGGAGTTGAAGCCGAAGGGAAGAATAAGGAAAAGAAAACGATCGAGATACCA